AAATGAGGATTTTTCCTGTGTCAATGTCCCATCAAATCCACTTCCCTTTCACATCGTCTCCTTACAAGAAAAGGGCGACAAGGATAAGAGCATTCAAATTAGGAACGCACACTTATCAGACGAACGCAGAATTGCTTCGACTTTACGTCTATGTTCTATGTGGTCGTGGTTTTGCACCAATATTGAACCGGCCAGTTCACACCAATTTTTTGTTGATGGAGTTTATCACTGGAGCATGAAGTTTTTTAAATACTTGTAGTTTAAATGATACAGCTTCTTGCCGTTGATATTAATTTATTAGCTGTTCCGGTGCGGCTACATCCGCATGAAATTATAAAAACTTTATTGTTTACATTTTTCAAATTCTCAATTGCAAATGTCAAAATTACCGTTATCATAATAACCTTGCTGCCTTATTGATGGCAGCTTGTAGTTTATGGTGTCTTTTCCATATGAATATTTGCTTGCAATTTATTTACCCCTAAGTTTAATAGCGTGAAAATATATAGCCTAAAACGTGTCGTGAGTGTAGGGCTTTTTATTAAAGAAAGAATTATTCAAAAACATGCTATGTGTGCTGACATCCTACGCCACAAAGTAGTGTGTGTTTACGCTTTATTATATTAGTATAGAGTGATATTAAAATGAAGTAATTTAAAGTAGCTATCTAGATATGAAGTCTGATTGATATTTCAACTATTTCTAGAATAACACTCACCCATACGAGCACCTCGGAATAGGAAAGGGAGGTCAGATGATTTTAGATGCGAAAAAAGCATGGCTTGACTTATTAAAACGTATTCTATTAATGGTGGAGCTTCGTAAGAACTTTAAATTGGTCGAAGAAATGCAAAAATCCGCCAACAAGTGAGTAATACATTTCTTTAAGAAATATTGTAGTTCCATCTAATTTGCTAAGGCTCTTTGTACACAAGGAAATGTAAATCTTGGAGACGCGACTATTGTATAGGGCGTGCTCTATACACATAATAATGAATCTTTAGACGACAATAGTCCTATGACTAAGAAACTATTTTCATAGTAAATATGGCTGACACGAATTTACACAATATAGGTAGCAAGGGATTGCCTTTGGCGACGAAAGAACTTCGGCGATGTGTTGTTCATCACGTATGTCGCTTAGCGACTAACGTCGCAGGCTTTCGAAGATTTACATTGCTTTGTGTACCAAGGGCTTAAAATGTACTAGAGATTGATAGCTTCATGTTAACAGAGAACCTCTTATCTTATTATCAGTTACTACGACTAGTAGAACATGTAGTTGAGCTCTGCCAGTCGTTTTAACGCGCTTAGTGGAAAAGTACTTAACAATTTGATTCCAATCGTTATTTGGAACGTCAATCATTTGGACTAAATACAGTCTTAAATTATTAGTTATTGATGTTAATAACTAGATAATTTTTGGAAATCAAATTACCTATTCAAGTTAGAGTTTCCTCATGTAGTTAGATAGTATTTTTTGCACAACGCTGCCGATATTACCCTTCCCCTCTAAGGACTGGGCGGGAACTGGTTTTATTAATATTTATTTAAATCTTTCGATGATTTTGGTTGTTGATTATATTTTCATAGTTATGAGGATTGTAAAAATTGGTTGACTGTCGGTTTATGATTGGTATTTTTATTTTGTAACGCCACAATGTTTAGGTTTATCGTGTTTCTCTGTTTGTGCTTGTATCTCTCTCGCTCGCACGCTTGTCAGGTGGAACAAGGCAATAAGCCATGCATTTTCGTGCGTGCAGTCCGGCGTTCATCATTCATTTATTCATTCAAAAGACGTCGAGTCAAAGATAGGGTAAAATAAGGCAACGAAATATTTATTATTGTAAAAAAATAATTTTTATAAGTACAATATGTTTCAATTTTATAGTTTAGTATTATTCACACCGCCGCGCTGTAACGTCATAGTATATAACTTACTGGGTTTTTGATTTTTTTTTTAATTACTGTACTCTGCAAAATCAAAAACCAAATTCTACAAAACGTTGAAAGAAAATAATTGAAAATGTTCTGTCAACTTATTTTAGCCCGTGCAGTCCTTATGGAGGGAGAAGATATTTTGTAGTCTCAAGATGGAATATATTGTCCTCAAATAAAGTTATTTGCCGCAGGAAAATGAACGTTTTAGGAAAAGTTGTTGTACCAAAATGTAGAGTTACATGCGCTTACATTATTGACGCATTGGAAGAACTGGCCAGAGACGAATTTTATAGACGAAAGATGATTCTATCAGTTAAGGGGAAAGGAGAAAATGATGCGCAATGCGAGAAAGATTGTTCGTTAATTTGTGAAGACGATGAAAAGAAGCCGCCGCACCTCGCCATGAATGATCATGTAAAGGAAATATTGCAATTAGTTAATAGTATAGACGATAAAAAGTTTTCCGAGGGCGATATCAAAGATTTTATAACCCTAGGTGAAGATCTTAAGAATAAATTAAACGATAGCATGAAATCAGAACCGAATTTGGATGAATTAGATTATAAAAATGATGCCAAAAGAGATGAGCCAGCAGAAAAAAATGATACACAAATAGCTTTGCCTCTCGAGATACAGGAAACTATGGATCCGATTGAAGTTGAAATAAAAGAAATCACTAAAATAGTGAGGATCAGAAATAAAGATGGTACATACAGAGAAGTGAAGAAAACCATAAAGATACAAAAGGAAACTAAAGTTATTGAGAATGTTTCTAATATCAGTTCGTCAAACGATAGGATGTTGTATCAACCATCCACATCATCTTCTAAATCAACACCTTCCCGTGAAACCAGAATACAAATGATGAAATTTAAAAATTGCAATATACCTTACGAAATTCAACAAACAAAAGGGATTGAACTAGGAAAAAAATTAAGTGTTATTCTTTGTGACAGTTTGCTTTTAAATAGCGATTTAAGTGAATCTGGTTTGGATTTAGATATGGAATATTTGAAATCAAAATATTTTTGTACGAACTGTCCAATTTGTAAAGAATTATCAAGCGATATATTTAAGGTTCAAGATATTGAAGAGCTCTACGAAAAATATCAGTTGTATGAAAATAATCTGATTGCAGAAGATATGGAGGAGTTCAGTGAATGATTGAAAATCTATACAAAAAATAAAAACCAATAGATCATATTCTTTCAACATTAACTTGAAAACGATTTAAAAAGTAAACTTTTACAAACATTTTGTAGTTAAAATAACGTAAAATTTCAAAATTATCAAGAATAGAGATTTTCATATTTAAATTAATTAAAACCTTATACAATGTAAATAATTACATAGAACATGAAATTTTGTACTTTTCAGAGTAACATTGATAATAACAATGACCAAAATAGCTTTTCAAATTTTTTTTAATCTTCTGAACATTTTCGCGTAGTCCTTAGAAGTAACTTCAGTAAGCAAAACTTGGTATCTACTTACACCATATTAAGCTAAGTAATTGTCCGCAGGCAGAGGGAAAATATCGAGATAATTATCACCCGGATGGCTCGTTTATCCCATATAGCTTCTTCACTTAATGAAAAACAAACCTATAACGATCTTAATATATTGCTAAGGAATTATTTAAGAGAATTTTCCAAAACCCACAGATGTACAAAATCATTTCTAAGAGATGTCAAACTATACTATAATATAATTATTAATCAGAATCTCGAATCATTAAGCCTTTTGAATTTAAATGAAGAGAGAAAAAAATTATTATCGAATTTAATATTTTGTGCATTGAAAAAAATTTCGAGCAACGAGAATTCATCAGATTTGAATAAACTATCGAATTATGGCAAAGAAATATTTCATTGTGATATTTTCAAAATTTTATTGTTATTACAAAATTATTTCACTGAAACTAACTTGGGCAATCGTCGACGTTTAAAATCAACAAGTAATGAGGAAGAGTATAAGACTGTTAATTGCGATATACATTTAAACAAAATAATTTCTCTAATATGCTTACATTTTGAAAACAACTTGACCGAGGAAATTAAAAATTTTATACTTAATTTAGCGGATAATATTAGTTTCTGTAACAATAGGCATGGAAATGCATTAAATGAGCCTAGTTCAGGAAGATTCGCTGTTCTTGAGAATTACGTTAAATTAGCAGAATACTTTTCAAATATTTTGCACCAAACTAAAATTTGTTACGTACAATATCACCAGGTTCCCGTACTATTACCTATTACTACACTTTTAGCAACGGGCACTGCGGATATGTCGGGAAACGACCGAAATAAACATATATTAACATCGTTGTTAGAAAAAATTGATCAAACCAAAGACGTAGCTAAATCGTTTTCGTCACAATGTATATCAAAAGATATTGATAAATTTATAAGCGCCTGTGTAGAATTGAGTGAGAACCTAAAAAAGGTTACCGAACTAAGTGAAAACGGGCAAACGAGTAAGTGTGAGGAAAAATGCGAAACATGTAGTTGTGAACAAAGTGAGGACGAAAATAAAGAAGATAGTAAATGTGACGCTGAGAAAGGTAATATTGAGGAAGATAATATTGGGGAAGATAATATTGAGAAAGACAATATTGGGAAAGACAATATTGACAATAATATGCTTGAGAAAAATATTGTTGTAAACAATAATATTGACAGTGTTGATATTCAGAAAGATCATATTGTGAAAGACGACATTCAAGATTATTGTAAGAGCGAATCGGATGCTGGAAAAAATATAGTTGGAAATAATATGAAGGCAGAGGGTTCAGTAGGATACTTCGAAAGGGAAACCAAGACATCAAAAATTAAACGATTTGTGAAAAGTGATGGAACCGTTCGGGAGGAAATAGAAACCACTATAGTTACAGAGAAAATACACGATCCCGATGGAGATATTGTTGATATAGATCGAGATGATAGCAAGGACTTAGAAGAAGAGGCATAAAATTGATACAGTTCTGCCATTAACCAAAGAAATTTGTACAGGTTATGTATTACATATTCAAATTACCTTGGCGGTTGTTTTGAAAAAAAAAATATTAAGTTATGTATGTAACAAATTAATGTAAAACTATTGTAAAATAACCTCGGTTTCCACTGCCTACAATCATGCCAATCCTATTTGAAAAAAAAATAGAGATGAAATGTTTCATTTAGGCAGTGTCAACTGACGGTATAAAATATAATTCAGATATTGATGTTGTTGCAGTTCTAAATAATTTTAATTTCAGTGGTTTTCTTATTTAGTATTTTCTAAATTGATCAAGATGCATGTTAACATCTTTTCTATGTAGTAAATAAATTATTTTAATGATCCTAAATATGTTTAAATGTTTATTCTTTAAGAAATAATAATATTGCAAATTTTTTTTGATCAGTGATTCTTGTGTTTAAACGGTTTTTATTGAAAAAATACAAACCATCTGAGGATCACAATTATATAGGTAACGTGTAAAAAGTAAATTATTGAGATTTTTGAGCTGAATAGTCAGCTCTCGTTCAGTCCGAAATACCTGATAAATCTAAATTCTCTCATCGTTTTAAATTACATTTGTTATTTCTTATCTTTTTGTACCACATATTTATTGTACGTACGAAATTACATATTTTCATTGTAAAGTCTTAAGGGTATTTTGTCGGTGGCAGTATGTAAATAAGAATATAAAGGACAGCGACTCTTTTTGCAGGAGGTTCAATGTTCTCTCAAAGTCTGTTATGCCACGTGCAATGCTGAGCATACGTTATATTTTATTTGAATTAGAAGAAATGGAGAGAGAAGATAATTTTAGATTAAAACGGTTCAAGGAATTAAAGATTAAAAAGCAAAGTAAAGATAAAGAAGAACTGAAGAAAGATGATAAAGAAATTCTAACACCAACGACATTAGAAGTTAAAGTTGACGATAAAAAGCAAGATACACAAGTAAAAGAAAAGGAAATGGAAAAGATAAAGGTAAAGGAAAAGGAAAAGGAAAAGGAAAAGGAAAAGGAAAAGGAAAAGGAAAAGGAAAAGGAAAAGGAAAAGGAAAAGGAAAAGGAAAAGGAAAGAAAAAAAGAAAAAGTAAAAGAAAAAATAAAAGAAAAAGAAATCGAAAAAGTAAAAGAAAAAGGAAAAGAAACAGAAAAAGAAAAAGAAAAAGAAAAAGAAAAGGAAGTAAAGCAGGAAAGTATGATAGAACCTAATATAAACTTGGATCACGCACCAGAAAAAGATATTAATACATTTAAGAACCAAGGTGAATATAAAACAAATAATGATCAGGAAAAAGTTGGAAATGCACCATACGTCGACGAACTGTGGAATAACGAAATAGAAGCAAACCTTTGCCAATGCTCTCCTTTATTTAGGTCAATACAAGAAGTGTGTCAAGCTGAAATACCTGATCCAATTCTCAATTTAGAATCAGATAAAAAGGTACAGGATGCCACGTTTATTAAGGAGAAGGAAGTAACGATTTTAGAACAAGTTTCGCCGTGCAACAGTAAAGTTCTATTGGATTGGTTAAAGAAAACTTTAGAAGAAATAGCTTCGGAATGTCTTTGTGGTTTAAATAGGGAGCAAAAAGAAAAAGAAATAGAAAAAGAAAAAGAAGACATTGCAGTATGTTCACAAAATATACACAAATATTCTACAGAATTTAGTAAACTTTCTGTCCATGATAGTACATTCAGTGTTAATTCTAAAGTTGAAGATAAACTTGGAAGTTATGAAAGTAAATACAAAGAAATCATAAAAGTATCACGATTACCGAACGAAGATGGCACTGTACGACAGAAACGAAAAATAGTTACAGTCAGGACAGATAAGAGAAACCCCATGAAAGCCAAACCTGACATTAGTCAAAATAACAAAAATAAAGACCAAAATTCAGTATGTCCCTGTTCGGATTCAAGCAGTGAAAGTGGAGAAAGCACGGAAGAAAATAAAACTTGGGAACGTGTTAAAGAAACTGATCAAAATGACAATGATAAAGAACCGGATATATTTTATCGACCAACAGACACTAGATCTGAACCTGTATGTACTAAATGTATGTTGGATAAACCTAAAATACGAACATGTATATCAGCTGGGAATGTGAAGAATACTAATAACATGAGCACTATAACGTGTTCCTATCCTAGTGATCGCAAAGTGTTTATAACTATAAACGATGAAGGTCGTGAAGTACATGATAATACTAAAGAGATGCGATTACCTCTAGTTTCTGCCATCAATGTCAACTTTTGCGATATACCAAAGAATGTCATGTTGGACTTACGAGATTGTCAAGCTTCATGTAACGAAACAAATCAGCAAAGCAAATATATGATAGATGAAGATTTATCTAAAATAACAGAGCCAAAGAGATCTGCAAGCACTTGTATTTGTGACGAAGAAAATGACGATTTAGACACCGCTGAAAAATCTTGTCAGTCTAGTAAAAACGTAGGCGTTGAAATTGAAGCTATGTTTAAGAATACTTCCACTGGTATGACGGGAATAGCGTATATATTCAATAAAGTAATAGTGAAGCATTCAGATGATGACCGGGAAAATATAACTTTGCAAGCGCATGATTTCTCATACATTTTTAGCAAAGTGAAAAAGGTAAGGCACGATCCACTTGATAAAAAAATAGAAGAGTCTCAACGAGCTGTAAATACAGATAATTTTTTTAAAGAATGTTCTACACGTACTACAATGTTTCCTTATATATTTAGTAGTTATCAAAGAAGTGAAGTTGACAATATGGTAAAAAGGGCCTGCTTTGATATTCCCGAATTTCCATACATTTTCAGTAAAATAACAACGAAGACAGAATGTATTTGTAATACAAAGTCTGTTGAAATCGATGCTTTATTTAATACAGCTTGTAAGCGTTCCTACAGTTGCGCTTACATTTTTAACCATCTGAAAAATATTAAAATAAATGCTATGATTAAAAATTCTTGCATGAATAAAGTTGACTTCCCGTATATTTTTAGTACGGTCAAAACTGAAATAGAAGATGAACCAAGCAAAGACGCCACATTAAGGACTGCAGAGATTGAAAACATGTTTAAAAATATACGGAAACCAGTTAATGATTTTACATATATTTTAACTAATGTAAATACAGTAAAAATAGCCGATATGTTTAAAGAGGCATGTAAGCAACATGAAGATTTTC